ATGGTGGCCTAGAAAACTTAACTTGCGAAAGTTAGGCCACCATGTTAAAGACCTAAGAAACACATCAGGTACATGTTACAATAAGACATCTTCTGGACGATCAACTCCGGTGGACTAAAAAACCACGTTGAGAAAGTTAGGCCATTCTATTTGAAACCGGAGTGTTTGTTTTTCGAAATTCTAGGTCATGACCCAGGCCACCTTCCAACACTCTCTGGCCTAGCATCCGACTGGTCGAAGCCTAGGCCACCACTATAATCTCTCACTTGGTATCAAATACTTTCTTCTCTCCTGCTCGCTCATCGTCGACGGCGCCATTGTTGTGTGATGTCTGACGTGGCGAGCCACGTCAATCATACCGTAACCCAAAAATGATAGCTCCTCGTGACATTCCTCAGAAATCGAATAGTTGGAGAATGAGTGAATGCCCAACGCAGCGATCAGATCGCTGGTTTTGTATTTTTCCTTAAAAATTGAAATGTTTCGATTCTGGATTCTCGAAACATCCGGATTATTCCCAATTTTTTCCATACTTGCGAAAATCGTTGAAGGCCGGGCCGGGTCGGGCCTTGAAAAGTTTTGAAGGCCCGGATGGGTATTTTTTGGTCGAAATTTATCAAAAAAAAATTTTTTTTTGATTACTTTTTGAGAATTTTTTAACAAAAAAATTAGTTTTTCAGAAAAAAGTTATTTTGCTTCAAAAATGCAATTTTCCGTCCGATCCCACCTCCGGAAAAAATTCAGCAAAATTTCTTCAAAATTTTATTTAACCATTTACAAATTCAATATTTACAATTTAGCTTAAAATTAGATGATAAAAACAACTTTTTTTTCCAAAAAAAAAAAGCTTTTTTGCCTAAAAATCGAAGCTGGCGCCAACTGTCCGGTCCTTCCGGGCTTTTGGGCCTTCCGGGCCGGCCCGGCCCGGCCCGTCGCAAGTATGATTTTTTCGAAAATCAAAAATTTCAGGTAATTTTTTTCCAAACTTTCCGACTCACCAATTGCTCAATAACTTCTTTTGGATGAGCGACAAGCTCATTCAGAAGTTCTATTGCTATAGATGGATTGAATTCCAGGCCAGAAATTCCAGAATATAGTAAAAATGTCAAAAATATAGAAAATCGGAACTTTGTCATTTTTTCAATTTTTTTCGAAGCAAACCAAAAAAAATGAATGATTTTCAAACTTTTAAGTTTTTAAGTTTTAGACTCAAAACTTGAAAAACAACTTAATCTTCTTGTTTTTCCGTCTTTTTGTCCCCACTGTCTTATCATTTTTCTTATCAGGTGGAGCCATAAAATTTTGAATGGGAGCAACTTTTTCAATAATTGAGTACAATAACAATGAAAAATAGTGTGAAAATAGTGGTTTTTGATTGAAAAAAGGACAGAAAATAATGAATTTTGGACCGGGAAGTTATTGAAAAATGGACTTTTTTAAAATCGAAATTTGGAAAGATCAAGGATTTTCGAATTTTTGAAAATCTGTCGAAAGGAAGCATTTCCAAATTTCGATTTTTACAAGAAAAATATATTTGAAAAATTAACAAAGTTAAGAATTAGCTCCATCCAATTTGAACGCAGCAGCCTTTTCCAGTTTTTTGTTGTAGTAATACGACCAATAAGTTATCTGGAAAAAAAATATGAAAAATTGAATTTTCGAAATTTAAAAAAATCAGATTTAGATTTTAGAACTACGACATTTTAGAACTGCGACATTTTAGAACCGCGACGTTTTAGAACTGCGACATTTTAGAACCGCTACATTTCAGAAACGCGACATTTTAGAAACGCGGCGTTTCAGAACCGCTACATTTTAGAACTGCGCCATTTTAGAACCTCGACATTTTAGAACTGCGACATTTTAGAACTGACTATTTCAGAACTGTTGCAAAACTGTCAAAAAAACTAGTGAAACAGCAGAAAAAAAACATTCGTCTAGTCCTCGAGGAAAATAAAAATTTTACCGGTACAATACCGGTAACTCTTTGGTAGTTTTCAAATTCACCGGTAGGCTACCGGTAAATTACCGGTAAAATCACCAAAAAAGCCGTTACCGGTAAGTGAAAATCGTAAGTCACACACCGGTTACTGTGACTGAAAATCTAAAATTGCGAACTTTTAATTATGTTTTCTGAAGAAGCCAATGAAGCTTCCGGGTCGGTCGGTCGAAATTCGCCGACCCAGCCGACCAACAGCCGACCGTTTTTGTGCATTTGCGCATCAAATTACGAATTTTTGCGTACGCATCATTTTATTTTACGACAAACGAGGTATTTAGTGAATAGTTTGTCGTAAAATACAATGTTGCGTATGCAAACACGTTGACACGCAAATGCACGAAAACGATCGGCTGTCGGTCGGTCGGCTAAATTTCTCAACCGAATGGAAGCCTTATAGCCAATTTCCGAAAGTTTCAAAATTTCAAACTCACATTAAAAATCGCAAAACAAGCCGGAAACAAAATCGTCGAGATTCGATCAATTTTCTCGGGACTCCAATTCCAGACATTTTTAAAAATTGTCTGGAAATTCAGTTTCTCAAATTTTCCGTATCTTCGATTTTCTGGAAGGAGCATGATTCGTTTCTCAAACTTTTGTCCGAATCCAATTGGAGAATCTTCCAAATTCAGCTCCAAATTTTTGCCCAATTTCCTATTTTTTCGTTTTTTCTCGTTTTTCTCCTCATTTTTGGTTTTGTATCCAACGATTGCCAATTCCAAAAGAGAGCAAAAAATAAATGTCATGGAGACCAGCATCCAGACATCAATGGCTTTCACATAGGAGACACGTGGCAGATTTTTCATTATATTTCCGAATTGGAAAATTAAAGCCAGAAGTGCATTGACACCTAACATGGTACGAGCAGGCATTGCTTGGGTTCCAAGGGAGAAGGATATCCAGCTGAAAGAAAACATTTGTTAAGACATTCAGAAATACAGAAGTTCTGTAAAGATATACTAAATTTCTAGCTGAACTTGGGAAATAATTTGGCGACCTTTGAGACTTAATGGAATATCTGAAGATCTCATCTTTGAAGTTTTCTGATCTCACGAGGGAACTTTGTTAATAGGAAATTGCAGTTTCAGTAGCGGAAATTGTTTTTGTCAGCGCAAAATCAGTGATTTTCAAATGTGATTTTCTCCCACTTTGATGTTCTTATTCCGAAATTTTCACTTCGAGTTTTTGCTTCGGAAATGGACTTGGAAAAACGGAACCAAAAAACGGATCCGGAAAGTCTGGCCCGGAAAAACGGAATCGAAAAAAACGGACACGGAAAATCAGGTCCGGAAAAAAGGGATAAAAAAGGTACTGGAATGCCGATATCGGAAAAACGGATCCAGAACAAAGGACCCGGAAAAACGGATCAGGAAAACTGGAACTGGAAAAATGAAACCGGAACAATGAAACCAAAAATCGGATCCTTAAAGCCGAATCCAGAAAAACCGGATCTTGAAAATCGGATCCGGAAAGTCGGATCCGGAAAATCGGATTCGCCAAAATGAATCCGGATAAACATGGATCTGGAAAAATGAATTCTGAAAATTGGAACATGAAAAACGGATCCGGAAAAACGAAAAAGGTATCAGGAAAAAAGGATCCAGAAAAGTGGACCCGAAGAAACTGAACAGGAAAAATTGGATCCGGAAACAACGAATCGTTAAAAGCAATTCCGAAAAATGGAACCGAAAAAAATGGAACCGGAGAAACAGAACCGGAAAAACGGGATGAAAAAAGCGGGCTTGAAAAAACCGGATTGAAGAACCGGAACAGGAAAAACGCACCCGGAAAAAATGATCCGAAAAAAAAAGAATCCAAAAAAAGGTAACCGAAAAAATAAATCCGGAAATTCCTGAATTTCCAATTCTATGAATTTTCCAACTTTTTGAAACTTTGACCAATTCCCAAGTTGCTGATTACAGAATTTCGAGTTTTCTAACTTTCGAACTTTTGAGTTTCCGAGTTGCTAAAATGCTGAATTTAGGAATGTCGGATTTTCGGAGGCCGCAACGTGAGTTCAAATTTCAGCGTTTTCAAAATTAAAAAAAATTCCAAAACTCTCAAAACTAACCTAATGAAAATCGCGGGATAGGTCGGTAAAAACGCCTGCATAAAATACCAAATAAATCTTCGTTCAAATACAAATTTCGCATGTAGCTCATCCCACATTCCAGCTGCATACGGTGCAACAACTCTTGTAGTTTCAATTTTAATCAATTCAAAATCCGGCAGTCTTATTTTTGCAGTTGTATAAACGGGGTTCTGCGTTTTTTCATTCCATCGCATTTTCACTTCCAAATTGTTGTAATTGAAACTCTCGTAAATCAAATGGCATTCTTGGATGTCCAAAGGGAATAGTTCGAATGATAAATCGCAAGGACCTTTCACACGGACTCTCTGAAAATGAAATTGAAAAAAATCAAGGAATTCGGAATTCTTTTAGAAAAATAAAACCAGAGCTTACATAATTGACCCACACAGTTCCATTTGGGTAAATCATAAGAAATACATTTCTGAAAACTTATTTTTGAAATCTGCGGTTTCATTTTTTTTCCATTCTTTTCAAAAACCAAAAAGTGAATGATGCAAAAAAATACGGAGAAACTTTAAAAAAAACTGAAAAATTCAAAATACCTGAACGGCGAATCATGTATTTCCGCAAATTTGCTATTGATGAAACAGCTATTTGGGGTCCATAATTTTTCCAGAACCTAATTTTTCCAAAAAAAACTTTTGTTCAAAAATTCCAAAAATTGAAAACGAACCTCATAACTAACAGACACATTCTGCTTACAGGGGTTTAAATGATCGAATTTGAGCTCTGGATCCAGCCACATTTCGTTTATGTACATATCCATCTGAAATTGAAAAATTCAAAAGAAAATTCGAAGAAAAATGTTTTTGGAACTTAGTTTTTAAATTAAAATTTTTTCGATTACCTCAAAATCATTCGTGATTTCATTAATCGATGTGATTGCATGAATCCAAAATTCCACCTGTACAGTAATCCCATCTTCATCTGAAAATTACAGAATATAAATTTCAAAACAATTCAGAAACTCTGAATTTCAAAATCTCAGATTCTCAGAATCTCGGAATCTCAGAATCTCAGACCCTCAGAATTTCAGAATCTCAGAATCTCAGTATCTCAGAATCTCAGAATCTCAGAATCTCAGAATCTCAGAATCTCAGAATTTCAGAGTTTCAGAATTTCAGAATTTCAGAATTTCAGAATTTCAGAATTTCAGAATTTCAGAATTTCAGAATTTCAGAATTTCAGGATTTCATGATCTCAGAATCTCAGAATCTCAGAATCTCAGAATCTCAGAATCTCAGAATTTCAGGATTTCAGGATCTCAGAATCTCAGAATCTCAGGATTTCAGGATCTCAGAATCTCAGAATGTCAGGATTTCAGAATTTCAGAATTTAGAATTTCAGAATTTCAGAATTTCAGAATTTCAGAAATTAAAATATTAAGATTTCAGACCTACTTGGTAATTTCAATTTATTATATCCGGTTCCACTGAGCAACTGATCAATCACCGCCGGTTGTCGAGTGCAATTATTTTTTCGTTTTATCAAATTCTCAGCTACCGTATCCTCACTGACAAAATAGTCACTGTCAATGAGCACACAAAATATTGGTTTAGAAAATAAAATTTGTAAAAAAATGGGAAAAACATTTTTATGGAGTTTCATAGTTCGCTTTGTGAAGAATGATGAAGAAATGGCTCTTGCGTAATGAGATAATTGAAATAATTATTTCTTCTTGATAATTAAAAATTTAATTAAACTATTTTAATAAGCTATTCTGAAATAGTAACGTTTATAATTGAATTTATAATACACCGATGAGCAATAATTCGATTTTTTTTCTAATTTGGAGAATTTTTAATTTGGAAGTAAAAAAAATCGAAATGAAAAAATTCGAAGAAAACAATCAAATTTGATCATCCCGGAATTTTTTGGATTTTCGGAAATTTCCGAATTTTCTAGAATTTCCTTTTTCTAGAAACTTCTAAATCTCTAGCTTTTAACTTTGATTTTTCGAATTTCAAAATTCACTAGACTTGTTTTTTGTTTTTGCAAAAATGACTACATTTTTTCCGTTAATGACGTAAGTTATTTCACACCGAACAGCAGAAAAAACATCATCTGTCAGTGTGTCGATGTGTCCGGATGTCTCTTTTACCTATTATACTCAGCTATGTAGTCGGTTGGACCTAATGGAATGGTTGCTGTACAGTGCCATAAAACGTATAAACTCTGAGAAGATTGATACCTTGAAAATGATGCATGTCTTGTTGTCTATAAGTGTTTTCTAAAAACTTGAGAGAGCAGGATCCGAAAATATTTCCTGAATTGTGAAAAAAAAATTGCAAAAAAAACTGAATCCTAAATTCCAGAACTTCAAGAAATTAGAGACTTACTAGGAAGGCTCTAACTCGGAGACCATGTTCATGATTTTCGAAAATCAACGATTTGTAGAAATATTCAGAATTTCGAAACGACTCAAAAATCGAAATTCGAATGTTCTGGAAATATTTTTGAAATTTAGAAACTCGATTTTCAAAAAAAAAAAAGAAGATTTTCTGAATTTCTTGATTTGTGAATTCTGAATTTGTGATTTTTTTTTCGAAATTTGTATTCTCAGACCGAAAAACCGTGCATTGCTCATGGTTATTTTTATTATTGCAAAAATGATTACATTCCTTAAAGGAGGGTAGACATCAAAAATTTCAAAATTTTCATTTTTACTGAAAAGATATAACTCTGAAGTATAAATATAGCTATGTACTTGAAAACCTGAAAAAACACTTCAAGGACGAAAAAATGCTCTTTTTTGTCACCCTAATTTCTTCACTAGCTTGCTGCTGCGGCGTCGCTTCATAATATGAAAAACGCGATGGTCGCCTCTTACACGCGTAGTGTAGTGGGTACGCTCTAGGCTAGTATTCAGGAGGTCAGAGGTTCAATCCCTGCTGGTGTTTTTACTTTTTTCTTCCCTTGTTTCCTTCGGATTGAACTTTTTGAACTCGGAATTTCTGAAGGGCTACCAGCGTGCCGCCGAGGCCTCGCTCCGAGGTATCAAAATCAGTTGAAAATGAAGAAACTTGTTTTATTATGTTAACAAATAAATTATGAAAAAAACTACAATTAATTTTTAGAAAGAGACATAACAATTGAAAAAAACCACATAATTAAAACAATCCTCGTGCAGGGCTGGTCGTCGGAAGGTGAAGGAAGCAGTAAAAATGGAGACGTCTCTGAAAACCCTAGTCATAAAACAGTTTTTATTCCTAGAGTAATAACGAGAAGTAATGAGATAAATAGGAACAGTGAAGAAACGGTTATCGAAGAGAAAATAGTTTTTTTCGCATGCCTATAAAAAACACCGGCGACTGGAAAAATAATCGGTCGATAGAACTTTAAATTTACATAAAAAATTCACTTTTATATGGGTTTTATAATAAATAAGAAAAAAGAGCTTTTTTAATGTTTGAAGTCGTTAAAAAGTGAAAAAAATAAAGTCGGGAAATAAAAAAATGAAAATGTTTGCGCGTGGGATTGCGTGCTTTAGGTGCGAACACCGCGACGGCAAAATACACATTCCCTGAAATTTTCCCCGAAATTTTTGCTGTCTGCCCTCCTTTAATAATCACTTCCGTTAATAACATATTTTTTCACACCGAACCACCCAGTTTTCCCACTATAAAATAATGAGAATCCACAGGAAAGTCATTATTTTTTCGAGATTTACTATAAGAAATTCTCAAATCATGATGCTACAGTATCTTCAAATCGCTCAATATTTGGGTGTTTTTTTGTTCAGAATTCTTGAATCTTTTACTGTTAATTCTCATTCTTAAAAAATCGCCACCATCTTTTGGGTCATACAAATATATTATGCTTTCGTATGCCGTATTTTCAATACTTTATGAAGTTGTTGACGTTTTGTCGCAGCCAGTAAGTGCGCTCCTTCGAACGTGTATGCTTTATAATCCAGGAAATCAAAAAAATCAGAAATTCAGAAAAAAAATTGAAATCCAAAGGGTCGGAAAATTTAAAAATTAAGGAATTTATGCGGTTATTCATAAGTAAGCAAAATAAGCAATTTGCTAGGTCATTTTGCTAGTCTAAGGCTAGCCATGCGCCTTCCATTTTGACCGCGTAAATCGCTTTATTGTCCAATTAGAAAAAAAACTGATACCTGAAATATTCGCCAGGGGCGTTTGTTTCGAGTTACAAGGCCACCGTCCCAAATCTGTTACTGTAATTAAACAAATAATTTTTGGTGAATTCAGTGAGATTTTTCAAACAAAATTCAGATTTCCTGGTTATGTGATGTTTATTGAACCAAATGAGTGAAGAAAAAAACATAGAGACTGGTAAGAAAATGATCGCTAGCATCTCTAGAACTTTTTTTCATCGAAAACCAGAACAAAATTGCGGAAGTGGCTAAAAAAATCAAAACAAGCGACGGCTTCCAAATCTTCTGGTGTCCGTTTTCTTGAATAACATTGAAGGAGGCAACACATAAATAAGTTTTATGCAGTACCGGTCGTTAAGATACCGTAAAACCTGTATTAGAAGGACCCCTTTAATAAAAGGGCCCCTCTAATAGAAGGCGTCCCTTCAAAATGTCTATTGAAATAAAAAGATTTTCGTAAGTTTTCAGTGAAAAATATTCGGCCAAAAATTCGGGGGGGGGGGATGTACATCGATTCGAGGGTACAAGGGGGTACGAAGTGATTCAGGGGTACAAAAATTTTGAACGGGAACATCGAATTGTTTAATGAAAAATTTTCGGAAAATGGTCGGAAAAATAAAAGGGCCTCCTCTAATTGAAGGGCCCCTGTAATGGGCCCTCCGGAGCGATCTTGAAAAAAATAGTAGGGCCGGCCCTACTAATACAGGTTTTACGGTATACAAAAACTTTTTTATAAGTGATTTCTGACCATTTTCAGGAGTCTGGAGCTCGTTCGATCATTTTGAAAATATTGTAGGGTGTAGAACATACCTAGATTGAAAACATTACATTCCTAGTTTTTCCGTTATTTGCCAATTTCTGAAAGACACCTGTTTTTTCCCGTTTTCAGCAAAATAAAAGCGCTAAAAAGTTGTGTCTTTCAGAAATCGGCGAAAAGCTGAACAACTAGGAAGACAGTCGTGCTTAAGAACCCTGAAAATGATCAAATGTACAATACCATAAAACGGATAAACATAATGGGAATGTATAAACTCTGAGAAGATTAAGACCTTGAAAAGAATGTAGATGTTTTGTAGTTCTTACTACATATATTAGGCAAGTAAAAAAAGCGAATAACCCGTTGGCAGTCTTACTATAAAAATGGAAACCGAATACATTTTATGAGAAGAAATATACTACTTTGAAACCGTTAATTGGTTTTCCAATTTCAAAACCAAAATTTCGAAAAAATAAAAAATCAGGCGTTATTTCGCTGCTATTTTGAGTCGTCTGTGAAAATTTGAAAAGTATTGGTCAAGTGGGGACTTCGCGAGGGTCGGCGACCCGGGAATAAATGGACACGCAGAATTTGGTGATTGTTAATAGTTTCCTTCAGATCCGAAAGTGTGACATAGAAATCAAAACACTCGATATGGAGGAAGTAAGTATTCCCATCATAATATTTTGGCTACATCCTTTCTGTGAAAATACCAAAATATATCTAAACAGCTTCCGTACCATAATATTATTGCCAGAAAAGACGGAAAAGGAAGCTGTGAACACAATGGATACAATAGAATGTAACCAACTTCCCATGAAAGCAAATCGGCACATCACAACAACCGAAAACATATGAAAAGGTTGGCCCGAAACAGTGGAATATCACATTTTGCTTTTCAGAATTTCAAAAATCTTCACATTTCCAGAATGGTTGCATTCAAATCGACTCTTCTCCTGGCGTTCACTACCGCTGTGGTGAATGGTGGACTCATCCCCATCAACCTTGGCGCAACTGGTAATGGAAACATTGGTGCCACTGCCCCTGGAGCTGTCAAAGGAGCTGTAAACGCTGGATCATCTGCCAGTGGAGCCGTTGATGGAGTCCTCAACGCCGCAGGCCACGTTTTCTCCACTGCCACTGGAGCTGTCCGGATGTCTCTTTTACCTCAAATACTCAGCTTTATAGTCGGTTGGACCTAATGGAATGGTTACTGTAATTGATAATTTATTGATCAGAAGAAAATATGGCACAAAAGTTATAACGGGAGTTCTAGATAAAACGCCTGATTTTTTATTTTTTCAAAATTTTGGTTTTGAAATTGGAAAACCAATTAACGGTTTCAAAGTAGTATATTTCTTCTCATAAAATGTATTCGGTTTCCATTTTTATAGTAAGACTGCCAACGGGTTATTCGCTTTTTTTACTTGCCTAATATATGAAGTAAGAACTACAAAACATCTACATTCTTTTCAAAACCCAATTGTCAATGTTCCTCTGAAATCAAACTGCTTTCATTCTGATCAGAAAAGGTTTTTGAAGGAGGAACGGTTACGGTTCTCTGAAGTTTTTTAAAAGTTCCTTTCGATTTTTCTGCAAATAAACTTCTTTTTTTTCAGATGACTCAGTTCTTTTGATAAAGATATTCGTGAAAAGAATAGTATTGTCTAGTCAAAAAAAGGCGTTTTTTCAGGAAAAAAATTTAAAAAATATCGCTTGGTAACAATTGTATCAAGCACCCATCGACCGTCGAATTACGCGATAACTGAGTCATTGAATTTCTGGTTTTCATTTGATTTACCGAACTTCTGCAAAAAATCACAAAATTTTATTGAAACGAAAAAAAAAACAAAAAAAGACAAGAACATTTTTTGGCGATTTTGGGATTGAGAAAAAAAATTGAAGACAAGAACAAAGCGGAGCGAAAATGGACCCGAATGAATTGCACGTTTTTTGGAAACAAAAAAATATTACTGGCAAAAATGTGATGAAAAATGAGGGAAATTAGAAAAACAATTTTTCAAAATTCCAGAACTTCTTCAGAGCATTTCACGAGTTGTACTTGTAGATCCATTAGAAAGAGTTGCCTGCACATCGGTTCGGATGAGCAGTGGACGCGATGATGTCGTGTAGCTGGATCCCTCGCAGTCCAGAACCACCTGCTTTTTTCGAACCCTGAAAATTGATTTTTGAGTTTATAAATCAAAAATTTTCTTCGATTTTCTGAAATTAAAAAAATGGAATTCTAACTATTTCTTCATTCTAGTTATTCAAAATACTGTGCGCAATTTTATAAATATCGATTCTAATTAATTTTTTCAATTCTAAAACATGCAATTTTGTTTTGGACAAACATACAATTTTTCTTAATTATTTTATTCTCACTGGTCAGGAAATTTTTAAGATTGGAATTTTTAGAAGTGCTACTTTTACTGATGATATGATAGAATTTCAGAGTTGCAGATGTTTAAGATTCTGGAGTTTTAGAATCTCCGAGTTCCAGAATTTGATGAATTTCAAGTTTTAGAATTTCAGAATATCAAAATCTTGGAATTTCAAAAATCCAAGAACTTAGATTCTTCGAAACTCTGAAAATCTGAGAATCTGAGAACCTGAGAACCTGAGAACCTGAGAAACTCAGAATCTCAGAATCTCAGAATCTCAGAATCTCAGAATCTCAGAATCTCAGAATCTCAGAATCTCAGAATCTCAGAATCTCAGAATCTCAGAATCTCAGAATCTCAGAATCTCAGAACCTTAGAATCTGAAAATCTGAAAATCTCAGAATCTCAGAATAAAAAAGTCTAAGAATCACAGAATATTCTAAAAACAACACAAAAAAGGACAAAAAAAGAGAGAATCTTGCAAGAAAAAAAGCGCGAGCAAAGTGTTAGGAGAGATTTTGAAAAGTTAGAAGATATTCAATTTGTTTTTCTTACCTATCATTACTTCTTCTAAATGTAGATCGTCGAATTGAATTGCTCACCCGACTGGCAAACGAAGAGACAATCTGTAAAAAAAGGGGAAAACTGGCTGACAAAAAAACAAGAAGAATATGGGGAAAAAGCGAAAAAAGAGAGGAGACAAAGGAAATGAAATTCGGGGAGGAAGAAGCACACGAAAAAATAGTTATTTTCTAATAGAACAGTCTATAAGAGGTAGAAGTCGCTAAAAAATTTGAAAAACATTTCTTACCTCTGTAGAATTCAAAATTTTCGAAAGTCCAGATCTTTTCTGTTTTCGTGTCAGCCAGAAGAAGAGTAATGGATTCCAGACAACCAGAGACATTGCGATGACGTGAGCCACAATTGCCCAGAAAAATGGCTGACGTTTAAGCCATTCGGGCTCTTTTTCTGAAAATTTAGAAATTAAATGAAATACAGAATAAGGCTTCCATTTCGGTCGGTCGAAAATCGCGTGACCGCCGACCCAGCCGACCGGTCGGTCGAAAATCGCGCAATCACCGACCCAGCCGACCAATAGTCGTCCGAGCTGACCGGTCGGTCGGCGTGCCGACCGATTTCGTGCCTTTGCGCATCAAAGTGCTATATTTGCTTGCGAAGCACTTTATCATTACTAATAACATTCACCAGATTCTGTAAGTGCGTGTGTATGTAGCGCGCCTTTACACCCATTCAAAGTTAACCGATTGAGCTGAAACCTGGACAGATAGATCAGAAATGTGTCTTAGTTGATGCCTGAACGTTCCGTTTTTCGAAATTTTGATTTTGAAGTCTTCTGAAGATGTTCCTTGGTTTCACCACAGTAATCCGTTGTAGCCCCGGAGGGGCATAAACCTGGTTTTACGACAAACGAGACATTTAGTGAGTAGTTTATCGTAAAATACAGTGCTGCGTATGCAAACACTTTGACGCGCAAATGCACGAAAACAGTCAGGTGCCGTCCGATCGGTCAGCTCGGCCAGCTGTCGATCGACTCGGTCGGTGGTCGGTCGGCCCGCTAAATTTCCTGACCGAGCCTTAATACAGAATTTCAAAATTGCATGGATTGAAAGAATGAAAAATGACTACGGCTCTGAAACTTCCAGAACAATTATTAAGAATTTTAGAATTAGAATGTATTCTATAATTTTTTAAAATACCCAAAAAACTCACTAAAATCTTTGACCAAATTCAGTAACGTCAGCGGCAACCAGCATCCAATAAAAGTGACAACCATTGCGATTAATATATAATTAACCTTCTTTTTTCGAGACGTCGCATCGTTTCGCTGTTTTTGTGTAAGTGACTGACAGAATTGTGCATTTTGGATGATCATATCTTTGGACACTTTTTGTAGAATTTTAAAGTAACAATAGGTGATTACAGCCATGGGAACGACGAACTGTAAAAGTTTATTTTTTGAATTTCAGTATTAATGGAAAAAATACCTGTAACAACATAACAGTCGTTCCATAGATTTTGCGGCTATTCTCACTTTGCCAATTGGCTTCGTCACAAAAATGACCACAATACGGTGTCTCTCCAGGCTGTACATAAAACGATCCTTCGACGTGTTCAAATGACATGAGATACGGTAGATTGATCAAAGTGGACACTATCCAAATGAGTGATGTTATACCGAGAGCTTGTCGGATCTGCAAGTGCCAATGAAAGTTGATTACTGTGAACAATTAAATAGAATCACCCTAGTAACTTTTAACTTTGAGCTTATTTATCTGGGTTCCTGTGAAAGGTATCAAAAATTTGTAAACTGATAAAATGTTGGTTATTTTATGGTTAACATTTTATCAGTTGGAAAATCTTTGCTATCTCTAATAGGACCTGAGATAATTAAGTTTAAAATGAAAGTCGTTCTATAATAGGCTTCCAAGTGTCTAATCCTAGGCCAAGTTATCGGATTCTAGACCACAGATTTGAGAACAGGTGGCCTTCAAATTAATTTCTAGGCCATAGTAGTTCTTCACATAAAACACCGAATGAAAATATACCTTATAAGCAAGCTGCTGCATCTTACATGTCTAACGGTATTTTAAAAGTCAAAATGGCTCACCGATACTGGCTGTTTGGTCGGATCGTTGATATGCAAGAACTTGTCTAATGAGATTGCTGTGAGACTCCAACTCGTCACGAACACTGAACAAGAATTGGACAGCGGTACTAGATGACACATTACGGAACCGAATGCCCAGTCTTTGGTCATTGCGTACCTGGAAAAAAGTCATAGTAAACCCCTGGGAAACAAATTTAGGGATGCCACTGAAGGGTATCTTTCTTTGACCTTAATTATCTCAATTCTTATAAAAAATATCAAAAATCCGTCAACTAATAAAATGTTTGTCATTAGGCCACCAACATTTTATTAGTTAACGTTTTTGATATCTCTTACGGTAACCGAGATAGTTGAGCTCAAGTGGGCGTTCGACTCACCATGGTGTAACTGGGATCGCTGTGAAGACGAGAATCAAGTCGGTGAAGATCAAATTGAGTAAAAAGACGTTGCGCGCGGATTGCAGTCGTTTGTTTCTGGCGACCGCCCATAGAACGCCTCCATTTCCGAAAATGCCTAACACGAATAGGAACCCGTAGAGGAAGGTGAAGATCGTTCGGATGTAGAAGTCTCTGGAATAATTTTTTGTTTTTTTGTAATTGTCGTATTTTTTTAAAAATGTAGTTCTTATAAGCTTCTTGAGGAGTTTAACTTGTGGGCCCACCGTTCGAGAAGCCGCGTTGCTGCCAGCTGAGCTACGGTGGTGCAAGCTGCGCGGCCAATGTTTTTTATATCAGCTCATGATTTGGCGCGTAACTTGCTTCAAACTCCAAATTTAAAATAGATTCAAAAACGAAAATGTAGAGCTTAAAGAGATCTACAACATGATCTAAAATTTAATAGTTTTGACTACAGCCTTTTAAAGACAACGTGCGCTTTGTCTGCACTCACTTTAAGATGAATTATCTCGGTTCCTATAAGAGATATCTAAAATCTGTCAACTGGTGAAATATCTGTCATATTATCACCAAGATTTTATTTTTTGACAATTTTCTGATATCTTTTAAAAAAACAGAGATAATTGAGCGCAAAGGGCAATTTTAGAGTATTTTTCTCATCCCAAACGACGTTTTCAACAACCCCTAGTGCTAGAAAGAACATAAAATTCGACGAGGTCTCGTTTTTTCGTTTGATTCCATAAAGTGACAGCTGCTGTCCAGTAGCAGCAACTGCTTTTCTCTCTCACTCTCTCCTGCTCGTTTCTTATCCCCAACTCTTTTTTCTCACACTGATAATGATAACATGAAGTGTGGAGCACATGGAGAGCATTTCCAATGTCATCAGCCACATGTCAAAAGTTGAAATGTTTAAAGGAAATTGAGAAGAAGAGCAAGAAGAGGATGTGAACTCTTTTTGACATGGTTTTGTGGTTGAGACAACTTATTGGGTGACAGGTTATGTGTACGTTGGTCTGGCAAGTTTCACAACCGGTCGTTTCAGAACCGCTCAGTTCGCGACGGACAAAAATATGTCATACTTTTACTTTTTCAGGGAAAAACATTCGTCATCTTTGAAGCCCTAAAATGTGGTCAAAAATTTTCCAATTTTTCTGAAATTTTGAGAGTAAATTGAGCTTCAGCTTTGTAGTCGACAAATTTTTTGTAAATGTTCTACAAAACTAGATAAACGGCTTTAAAGGTACACAGTCACTTTAATAACTAATTGTTGGCAATTTTTGAATGTTCAGATACTCTTTCCGTTCAGTTCAGATATTCTGGAGACCAACTTTGAGCTCTTATATCTCGGGTCCTGTAAGAGATATTAATAAGCGGTAAACTAATAAAATAATTATCATAACATTACAAACATTTTATCAGTTGATCACTTCCTGATATCTCTCCCGGAAATGGAGAAAATTCGAGTCCCCCACTTACACCGTAATATCATCGATGCCTTGTGCTGCGATCGCCTCGGCAATTTGAATACACGTTCCGTTATTCTGAGATGACGTCGATTGTGTGGTGGTGATGACGTGACTGTGAATCGTTGGAGACGTCGTGGATATCGTCGGACTCGAAATCGTGGTGCTGATTGGGTGGAGGACCGCCGAACTAGTCATGCATCGAAGGTTCTGGAAAAAATTTGAGATATTTAATTGTAAGATAAAAAAATCTGGGGAAAAAGGGAACATTTTGAGCTCAACTCTGTAACAATATGTTACTTTAAAAATAAAGATTTGCGTAGGTTGGAAACATAATGACACACTAGAAATTAGGTCAGAAATTTCTGTTTTCGAATTTTTAAAAATTCTAAAAACATTACTCATTATCAAAAGATGTCTGAACCCATTTCTTAAATAATGTGGGCTAAATTTTTTTGAGATATTTCTAGGCCATCTTATGACCTTCAGGCAACGAACAATACCCCCAGAAATTTGGGATGTATTATGAGTGACTAACAAAAAATCCTAGATTTTGCTCTTTTTTTCTAGAAAAGCCAAATTTTGAATAGAGAGTCAATGGGATCAGAAGACGTGCACGTCATCGGGTAGAAGAAAAAAATCGAAAAATGATAAGATTTTCTGATACGAAGTGATATGGGATGAGGAAGAAAAAAAATGATTCTAATGTGCAAAAAATGCGAATTCTGAGAAAACTGAATTTGCAAAAACGGTGGTTTTGAATTAAAAATATACTTCAAAAGTTAAAAAAAAAACTTTGAGAATATTTTTTGGCAAAAAAGTTCAAAACAAATGTTTTCTGGATTTCAAGAAAACATTTATTTTTCTGAAAAATAACGAAAAAATTCTCGTAAAATAGAATTTGAGAAAGTTCTGAGAAAATCAGAATAACAAGATTTCCGTTGAATTTTTGAGGGGAAATTTTTAAGAGCAAAAAATCTAGAATTCAGAAGTTCCAAGAAAATCCGAAATTTTGGAAATTTGGAAATTCCAAAATTCCTAGATCAAATTTATTCGGAAATACAGAAATTCAAGAATTATGGATATTCAGGAATTATGGAAATTCAGAAGTTCTGAAATTTTCAGAAATTCAGAAATTCTGAAATCCCGAAATTGAGAAATTCCAAATTTCGAAAACTTAATTTTTCAGTTTCCTCGAAATTTTTAAAAATCTCTCGATTTTCAAAAATAACGAAATTAAGGAAAAATACGAATTTCAGTTAATATGAAGTATCATTTAATACTGGGTTCATCTTTAAAAATTTTGAAAACTGAAAATTAAAATTTTCAGAACTAGTGTTAAAATCTCATTTAACAATTTCTCAAGCTTATAAAACCTTTAAACCCCCCCCCAAAAAACTTTAAGCCCCTTAGTAAAAGTTATATTATCACAAAAATACCAAACCCAAAGAAAAAAAAGGGGAAAATTGAATAGGACAGGAAAGAGGAGAATGATGAGATAATCTTTGAGGTTCTTGTCATGAATAGAAGAATGTATTGAGTAAAAAAAAGAGAGGAATCGAGAGCTAGAGAAAGATAAAAAAGTGTAAGTGTCTAGTGAAATCTGAGAACGATTTTCGACGATTTTTGTCAAGGTAAAAATATTTATGAGCGGATTTTTGGGGGTTTTTTCAAGGATCACTTGGCTGGGAAAAAACTTTTGAAACAGTTAATTTTTTTAAAGATTGTGGGATTCCGGAATCCTGAATTTCTAAGGTTGGAAATTCTGAGATTCTGAAATTCTGAGATTCTGAGATTCTGAGATTCTGAGATTCTGAGATTCTAAGATTCTGAAATTCTGAGATTCTGAGACTCTGAGATTCTGAGATTCTGAGATTCTAAGATTCTGAAATTCTGAGATTCTGAGACTCTGAGATTCTGAAATTCTGAAATTCCGAGATTCTGAGATTCTAAGATTCTGAGATTTTGAAATTCTGAGATTCTGAGATTCTAAGATTCTGAAATTCTGAGATTCTGAGATTCTGAGATTCTGAGATTCTGAAATTCTGAGATTCCGAGATTCTGAGATTCTAAGATTATAAGATTCTAAGATTCTGAGGTTTTGAAATTCTGAGATTCTGAAATTCTGAGATTCCGAGATTCTGAGATTCTAAGATTCTAAGATTGTGAAATTCTGAAATTCTGAGATTCCGAGATTCTGAGATTCTAAGATTCTGAGGTTTTGAAATTCTGAGATTCTGAAATTCTGAGATTCCGAGATTCTGAGATTCTAAGATTCTAAGATTGTGAAATTCTGAAATTCTGAGATTCTGAGGTTCTGAGATTCTGAAATTCTGAAATTCTGAGATTCTGAGATTCTGAGATTCTGAAATTCTGAGATTCTGAGATTCTGAGATTCTGAAATTCTGAGATTTTAAGATTCTAAGATTCCAAGATTAGGATTCTGAGCTTAGGATTCTGAGCGAAAAATGGTATTGCTCATTTTAAATACCCATTCTCCTAATCTGACAAACGAACTGACAAACAATTTAAAGTTTGTCAGGATTTTACGAAAAAAAAAATTCCATGTCTGTCAGATTTTCCATGAGCTGGAGCACGAAATTCTTGTGAGTCATTTGAAAAAATGCCAAAATTCCAAAATTTTGAATCATAAATGCAAAAATGTGAGAAAAAACCATAACTATTTTTGAAAGTGTGAAGGAAAAAATTGGGAAAAAAGAACACCAAAAATCCCAAACCAACTTTTCTTGGAAATTCTGAAAATTACATCATTTCCAGAAAATCGAATTCTGGAACAGAAAAGACTTTCAGCTTATATAGCCAAACTAATTAAACTTATCAGAGTACACTGATTACGTCTGAAAGGAAGAAAAAAAGGACGAAAACAATTTTTTCCAGAAAAATCTTTTAGGATTAGCCCTTATTAAGCGGAGCAAAAATCGCTTTTTTTTTGGCTCGTGCTCAAAACTTTTTTGACGTTTTGTGTCACTTTGACTACATCCAATGGGCAAAAAAACGTCATTTTGTCAGTTGAGAGATTTATACGGGTCAGTTGGAAATGTGTTTTTCAAAAATAGTCAGAAAAATGTAGCATGGTTTAAATTTTCAAATTAGAAAAAATCCGTTGACAGATAATTCTGGGTTTTGGTATTCAGAATTACGTTAACTCAAATTTTGTGAACTTGGAAATTCTAGAACTTGGAAACCAGCATTTCAAACTTTTAAATGTTCTGAAATTCAGAAAAATGCTTCAGAAAAAAGCAGGAAAATCTAAAAAAATCCAATAGTTTGGAAATTCAAAATTTCGGGAATCCAGAAATCCAAGATTTCTGAAATTTTGGCAAATTCAGAAGTTTAAAGTTCAAACATTCGGAAACTCAGAAATTCAGAAATCGAAACTTCCGAAATTACGAAAGCCAGAAATTCAGAAATTCACAAAGTTCAGAAGATCTGAATTCAGAAATTTTGAAATTTTGAAATTCGGAAATCCATTCAAACTCTCAGAAAACCAATCTTCGAATTTCTGAATTTCTGAAAACCAGAAATTTGAAAATTCCAAAAAATGGGGACTTCAGAAAGTCTGTTTCTAAATTTCTGAAATTCAGAATTCCAAATTTTTGAATTATTTCCAAAGTTCGGAGATTCCAGAATATTCCGAATCTCACACTTATCGGATTTTCAACATTTCCAGTTTCTCAGAGTCCTAAATTTCCAGATTTCTTGTTTTTACTTTCACTACCACAATTCTCTAAAAATTTTCAAAAAAACTAAATTTCGAATAATCGATTTTGAGAAACTCGAAAGACTAGAAAATACTGCTGACCTATTTAAAAAAAACAAAAAATAGAGAGAAAGTGGAGCAGAAAAGAATAAAAATGATAAAAAACAAGAGAGAAAAGTGGCCTCAAACATACAAAACATCATGAAACAAACTCTCATTTGATGTGTTTCTTTTTCTCACCGCGGATTTTTTTCTCTCTTTGTTGCTCTTTCTCTCTCTCCCTCTCCAAATCCTCTTTTTTCTGTGCTCCAGGAGCATCCAGAATCCAACTGACAACTGTCGGTATAATCTGTCTGCGTCTCTTCACTCTCTCATCAATTTTCGACTTTTTGATTGGAGAGAAAAAGAGAAAAAAAAAGACAATTTTTAGGTGAGCACAAAAAGAATCAAGATTCACTTTTTTTTGAAAGGACAATCTTGAGATTCTGGAGAGCAGGAAGTGTGTACTTATAAAGAATCGGAAATTAGAAATTCTGGGAAAGTTTGGAATCGGAAGATTTGAATTCTAAGAAAAAATCTTTTGGGGCTCTGTGATTTTGGAATTCTGAAATTTTTCGGGACTCTGAGATTTTGGAATTCTGAGATTCTGAGATTCCAAGATTCTGAGATTCTAAAATTCTAAGATTCTAAAATTCTAAGATTCTAAGGTTCTGAGATTCTATGATTCTAAAATTCTAAGATTCTTAAATTCTTATATTCTGAGCAAAAAATGGTATTGCTCATTTTAAATACTCATTCTCTTAATTTGGCAAACAAGCAGGCAAACAATTTAAAGTTAACAAAACTTCGGAAACTGAAGCTTGCCTTTTTCGTAGAATCTTAGAATCTTAGAATCTTAGAATCTTAGAATCTTAGAATCTCAGAACCTCAGAATCTCAGAATCTATGACTCAAAATCATGGAATTTTGGCATTTTTTCAAATGACTCACAAGAATTTCGTGCTCCAGCTCATGGAAAATATGACAGTTATGAAATTTTTTTTTTCTTAAAATCCTGACAAAGGCAAGCTTCAATTTCCAAAGTTTTGTTTAGAATTTTCTGTAATCTTCACCCCCAAAATACCAAATAAGTATTTTTTTTAAAGTTTGTGACTCCAACAAAAAATTGTTTTTTGGCTTTGAAAATAAAGAGAACTCGTAGGCACGAAAAACCGGTAACCTAATTGTCTCAGATTTGACTCAATTTGCATTTTTCTACACACAGGGAAAAAGTTGTTCCGTGTTTTCCTTACCAAAAACTTTACATATATTTTTTCGAGTCTATTATGAATAATATGATCATCTACTGATTTTTTTTTGCTAAATAAGTGGATTTTACATTGCGTCAAAAATTTTTACACAAAATGATTCATGCGGCTAGACAGACTTCTTAAACTGATAAGGATATCCGGTACAAGTGATAAGAACTCAATGATTAA